TTAAGAGCCTTGTATTAAATCTTCAATATTTTCTACCCAAAAATAAATTTTATCGATATTAATTTTAAAAAAAACTAATAATAATCAAAAATTTTGTATACCTATGAATAGTACAACATAAGTCAAAAAATTTTGAAAACGTCATGGCGGATAGAATATACTTATAAAAACATTCAGTGAAAATTTTATGTATCAATGGTCATTTGTTTTAAAGTTACATTAAAAATCAAAATCGATTTTGTCGAAAACTGATTGTGCGTAAAATTTCCCGTTTTTCCCTTAATTTKTAGTTTGTTTATCCCAATTATTTAGAAAAATATTAAGAATTTTTTTATTATTGTCTGTAAAAAAAGAAATATTAAATGATTTAAAGTTTGAAGATATTTTAGATAATATTATTAAAAACTCATCTCATACTTTATATAAATTACTATCGTTCACATAATTACATAAATATATAACTATAAAATTTAATTTGTCATACTGTTACTTGGTGTTACTGATTTATACCTATGTATTGATATATTTTACATTTTCTTTGTAATCAACATCGAAAAAGTTCCTAAATCCTAATTCTTAAAAAATATTGGTAAAGGTAGAAATATTATTGAGAAAAATGTAATATTTTGTTAGTTCAAGTTGAGCCGTTAAATATAGGAAAATTCAAATTGGGCCGGTTGCATACAGAGAATAGTGGGCCGAAACTTTTCCAGTCCGGCCCTGCGCCCAAGTATATCACGGTGTGATAATCACAGAAAACACTGTATATGAAATTATCAACCGGATGCCACATTTCAATGAGCTGTAGAATGTATTATACTATTAGACAACTGACAGCAATGCCTAACAGATTATTATCTACCTACTACGGCACATAAATGAAAACATTGAATCACAGTAATAATAATTATAATATATAGAAATCTGTGGATATCTCTGAATCGCGCAGCCGATGACGTTAGCTCGTCGAAAATTCTGAATACTCAATACACCCGTCAGGCGTAATGATCATAGAACCGCTGGCGAGCCAAGACTCACGAACAATAAATATGGATGGCAGGCACGTTTACAGTGGGGATTTAGGGGTTCACCCCCCCCCCGACATTTTTACAGTAATTATATATTTATATTAT